GAGGCAACATCTCAAGAAGTGGCTTCAAAATGGTAGCACTGGCGGAGTTTGTACTAGCCAAATTTTTCACCCAGCCACTTCTTTTCTTCTTCCGGCCTCTCCTTCTACATTTTGCTCTTCTCCCCCGCCTTCCTCTTCTATACCCCTCCATCCGAAGATGCCATTCCGGCAGGATTATGATGAGGTCCTTGAGGGGATTGGACTTTGGAAGATATTGTCTTTGAGGTCATACGCCTGAGGGGATGATGACGGAGGTGCCGCATTTTTGGAATAGGCTAGATTCTTAGGCTTTTGTTGTAAGCGTATCCTTGAAATTCTTTATTTCTGTGTAAGGATCCCCTCGCGGGCTTTTATAACCATATGTAAGGACCCCCGAGGGTCGTTGTAAGCGAATATTTTATGAATACAAGATATTTCCTTGATTCTTGCCTTTGATACTTGTTGTATTTCTGTATGTTTACGGTAGCTGTGAATGCACGATCCTGTTTTGTCATCTGTAATACTGACCCCGGATGCGAGTATCCCTTCCGGCCTTTGGTTGATAGAAAAGGCTTCATGCGGGACCTTTAGTGGTTCCTCGGACTGAACCCTAATAAGGTCAATAACCTCGGGTCGCCGGGACCCTGACTTCGCGTGGAAGCGTGGATAATGTTTTCGGGCCTCACACTAACCTTCGAGAAGAAACTTGCCCGGGCACCCGCAGACGGAGGACGCCAGTGATTTCTTAAAAGAAGCCTCTGAACGGAGGCTCGCTCGCACTCGAACCATCCTGGACAGCATCCGGAGCCCGTTTTGTATCGGTGTTGTTCAAAAATGTTTATTTCTTCAGAGACTGGTTTCCCTTGGCGGAGACCTTCGAAGTTGCGTGCCAGTCTTGTGTTGGTGAAGGCGTTGTTGGCCTTCTGGAGCACCGTCTTATTGTGATGGAGGTCTTCGGAGCTGAGTATTGCCTCGAGGCTGGAGGTGGTGCTGTTGGTCGGCGTCTTTAGTTGGCCTTAAATTATCGATGTTCTTCCAACGTATGGCATAAGGCCTTTTCCACCCTCCGAGAGGGGAAGGAGTTGTGGGCTTCCGAGCCAGGAGACGATGGTGGCAGATGGGATACGCACTCATAGGGTGATAGAGCTTTGGTGAGGCTAAACATATCCGTGTCTTCGGCAAGAGAACATTGTCCGAGCCTGTTGTTCATGAAGTTTTCGATCTTGGAGCGATGGTTTCTCTAAATGATCGTGCTTCAACCGAGGTCGGTCCTTCCGAAGGCCAAGGGGCTGGGCCCATAGGAATGTGCTTCGGCCTTCAGGGAAGCTCGCTGGCTTCAATTTGCGGCGAGCCTCGACACACCTCTTCCGCATCTTGTGTTTTCCCTTTTTATCAAGCTTTCCTCGTACAGGATTTTGATAGGCTTCAGGTTTGAACTATTCCGCCATGGGGCTTAGGCCTCGGAGAGCTCCGGATAAGGGTGAGTCCCTTAGGTTCCTTGGCATGGGGAAGGATGTTGAGTTGATGTACTGGCGATATGGAGCGCACCAGAGCTCGAGTTTCGAGAGCTATTCGGTGGGACAGGCAATCTTTCGTGGCAAGCATTTTGCTTTTTTAACCTTTAAGGTCAGGTTTTGCCTATTCTTTAGTTTGCAGAAAAAGGACGAAGGCTTAGGAGTACCTTAGGGGCGAAGCCGACCGAGTTAGGAGTGCTTGGGGTGAACTGTGGGCTTAGGTGCATGTTCAAGCTTCGGCTCGGGTGGATACCATCGCGAAGCTGGAGTCTGATCTCTCGAAGGTCAGGGCTGAGATAATCGATGCCCTGGCTGAAGCAGCATTAAGTCGAACAAAGGCTGATCAGGAGATGGTGATTTATGTGAAAGACGCTGCTGATGCTAAGACTAGTTGAAGCGGGCCCTCGATCATAAGAAGATGATCGAGGAATATGTCCGTTGCAGATGCCGAAGAGAGGTACTTGAGGAGATCAGCGCCAGGGGCTTCGTTCTCTCAGAGGAGTTGGCTCGAGGAAGGTCAGACGAGCGCGATGCTTGGTCCCTCCTGGCTGGCGTTATAGAGAGCGAATCTAGAGTTAGCAGGTTGTAGCCTTTTGGGTCGGAATAACCGACATTTATACCAGAGCAGTGTTGGGTCGGACCAAGGCTGATGATGAAATGGTGATCCAGTTGGGTTGCCGTTTCATAATTGTTGTTCGCAAAGCGTGTTTGTAGATGGAGACCGCACCTTTTGCTCTTGTGATAAGGAAAGAAATTTTGAAGGTTTGTCTCCTTTGTATCTCTTTCGGCATTGCTTTTGACTAGGCGGGCTGGTTTGGTGTCCGGCGGGAGCCCGGTGGATCCTGAGCTCACTTAGATAGGCCCATAGGCTTTCAAGTGAGATTTTTTATGTGAATAGGCGTTAGGGCACATGTGATTTTCCCGGCTGTTTAGGCCTAGTCTCTGAGTCGGGTGTTGGCTCGAGCTTATCTGGCTTCCAATCTCCCGTTCCTGCATGAGCGGATGACGACTGTTTTTATTGCTCGCGCTTCAACTATTCGGGTCCACTCTTCGAGTCACGTTGCGACTCGAGCTTTAATTGACGCTCATGTTTTTTCGTACCCGCGTGGATGGACGACGATGGCTCTTGCGCTTCGGGTAGAAGCGAGCTTTTAAGTGTGTGGCCCAAAGGCTTGTTTTGGCTGGCAATAATGGCACTTAGGCCGTGCCCTTAGGCATGTGAAGTTAACTATTTTGGATCCGGTCTCCGAATCGGGTCACGACTCGAGCTCATTTTAGTCCTCAAGTTTTCAATTTTTGAGCTGGCGACAGTGGCTCTTATGCTATTTGGTCGTTGAGACCTTTTAGTGTGCGACCCGGAGGCTCGTTTGGCAGGCGACAATGGCTCTTATGCATTTGACCGTGCGGTTTTTGTAGGCTTTATTTTCCTCTCGTTAAGGTCTTTTTGAATGACTTTTCCTTAGCTGTCGTCCGTTCTGGAAGAACCTCAATTTCAAGTCGTTAGCGGAGATGTTCGAGCACCTTGGAAGATTCTAAGCTCGTAGGCTGAGTAGTTCGAAGCTTTGTGATTTGGAGCTGACATGGTCAAAGCTCGTTTTCCTGTTGAGGGAAGCCTGTTTTAACCGATTCTTTCCGAAGTATATTCGAAGTAATGGCCTGCAATTTTGTTTAGCGACAGTCCGGCATCCCCGAGTCGCGTTAATTTGGCTGGATCAGCCATTTTGACCGCAGTCATATGTGTTTGGCTGGAGCCATTTTTTTTATCCCGAGTGATAGTTTAGGCGTCTACACCGAGGGTATGCCCTTTCGGGATTCTTACAAATGCGATTTATAGCCTAAACTTCGGGATTGAGTTTTATGCCTGTAGAAAGGTCTTACAAGATTTCCATGCCTGTTGAGGACTTACAGTTTTGTCGTTCCTGTTGAGGTCTTATAGTTTTTGTCATGCCTGTTGAGGTCTTAAAGTTCTTGTTGCTATGTAGAATATATATGGTTATACCGAGTCTGCCCGCTTGGGGTATTATGACCTCAGGTTTTTCCAGTGTACGGCAATTTGTGACAGTGTCCAAGTCAACGAGTTGGCTTAGGCTCGAAGGACGTCATTCGTGAGCTCGGAGTTACCTTGTTGGGGCCTTATAAGCCCGAAGTTCCGACCCTGGGGTCATGCGGGTGCCAAATTGTTGACAGTAAGTCTCCGAATATTCAAGATACCCCCGATGTTGGTGATGCTGGGCGATTTCTGCGCAGCCTTACCTGAAGGCTTTGTGGTTTTGGAGTTTCGACCTAGAGGCTATTTGAGCAGCGAATTGCTGGCGTCAGTCCCGAGTGTTCGGGACGTTTTCGGCGAGAAAATTATAATCTTACTTTGCGAAGATGTTTTTGATAAAAGATATTCTTTGATTGCTTGGTACAATAGTACATGTATTTGCCGACAGGAGCCTGACAATAGTTCATGTATTTCCTTCGACCGTTCGGCCTGGTACATTGCTTCCCTATAGGGACCCCGTTTGGTGTTTCAAAAAACCTTTTCGAGCGGGCAGCTTTCTGGGGGAACGCCCCTCATTGTTCAAAAAGTTGCCTGCAAGAGGAGTCTTGAGTATTTGCGGAGTTTTCTTTAGGCATCTCGCAGACGTTGCCTCATTAAAAACCTTGCCGGTAAAACCCTTCTTTTGGGATAAAAACTCGGTCGAAGGAAAAGAGTGCAACGGGTGTGTTTTTAGAGCCCTGAGGTCTTCAGGCAGTGGCAGCGCTGTGATAGCTCCAGTCGGGTGCCTGCAAGAGGGTTAGTTTTGAATTCGAAACAAAAAGGGAGATGGTCATACCTTTAAGTGAGATGCGCTGGCGGTGCCTCGGGATTGACTTATTGTAATTGCCTGAGGCGAAGGCGCGGTATGGACTTCCCCTTCGTTTTGTCAAGTTCGATCGAGGGTGAGACCCGATTCTCCCTTTGGCTTATTCGGGGGCGGAGGAAGGAACGTTGGTATTACGTCGTGTATCGCGAACATTTCCCTTGCCGCGTGTTGTTCCCCGTGGACAGTTTTGATCCCATCCTTTGCTGGGAATTTTATCATCTGGTGAAGGGTGGATGGCACTGCTCTTATGCAGTGTATCCATGGTCGCCCAAATAAGGCGTTATACCTCATGTCTCCCTCGATGACATGGAATTTGGTGTCTTGAGTTATACCCGCCACGATGATCGGGACGATGATTTCTCCCTTCGTTGTTGCGCTTGCCATGTTGAATCCGTTGAGGACCCGAGTGGCGGGCACGATTTGGTCGAGCAATCTGAGCTTTCAATTACCCTCGACCTGATAATATTGGCCAAGCTACCTAGATCCACGAGTACACGTTTTATCTGAAAAGAATTTACAAAGAAGGAAATTACAAGGGCGCCGTTGTGGGGTTGAGACAGAGTCTCGGTGTCTTCTTCGCTAAACGTGAGGGCGTCTTCGGGGATATATCCCCGAGTCCACTTTTCTCTGGTGATGGATATTTTTGTTCTTCTCATTATGGGTTCCTGCGGGGCATCGGCGCCCCCATGATCATGTGGATGACATGTTGTGGCTCATTTGCCTTGCTCTTCTTGGTTGCCTCCCTTTCTCGGAACTCATTTTTGGCTCGATCGCTAAGAAACTCTCGGAGATGCCCTTTGTTAAGCAGCCGAGCTACCTCCTCTCGTAGTTGATGACAATCCTTGGTCCTGTGGCCGTGCGTGTTGTGAAACTCGCATACTAAGTTGTAATTCATTTTTGAAGGATCTGACTGTATCAGTTTGGGCCATTTAACATCTCTGATCTTACTGATAGCGAACACCATGTCTGACACATCGATGTTAAATTTGTATTCTGACAGGTGGGGTGCACATGTTGGTACTACATGTCGATCGATCCTGACTCTATTGATGAGCCCTCGAGGGTCCTGTCCTCGATCTTCCCTCCGATCATTGCGGGGTAGGTTGCGCCTCGGGGCGTTCCTCCTCTCCTCGAGGTATGGTTGATACCTTTCTTTGTTTGGCTTTGGTTCCTTCGCCAGGAGCCTGTTTGGGTATACTGAGCCCGAAGGGTCCCCCAACTGGTCATCCTCGGCTCTGATCTTCGACTGGTACCTGTTGTGAACATCCAACCAGGTCACGGCCAGATACTCGATCAGGTTCTGTTTCAGCTGCTTCGAAGCCACCGAGCTTCGTTCGTTCGGGCCTTTGGTAAAGGCTTGTACTGCCCAGTTGTTGGAGACAGGTGGTAGCTCCATCCGTTCCATCTGAAAGCGGGACACGAATTCCAGTAACATCTCGTTCTCTCTTTGCTTTATTTTGAAAACGTCAGACTTCCTTGTTGCTACCTTGATGGCTCCGGCATGTGCCTTTTCTAAGGAGTCCGCTAGCATGGCGAATGAGTCTATGGAATTGGGAGCTAGGTTGTGGTACCACATCATGGCCCCCTTCGAGAGTGTTTCTCCGAATTTTTTCAGCAACACGCTATCGGTTTCGTCATTATTTATATTGTTGCCTTTTACTGTGCAGGTGTAGGCAGTAACGTGTTCATTAGGGTCAGTGGTACCGTTGTACTTAGCGAGTTCTGGCATTCTGAACTTCTTTGGAATGGACTTTGGGGCCGCTTCCTCGGGGAACAACCTTTGTATGAATTTCTTCGAATCCACGCCCTTGAGGACTGGGAGTGCACCAGGGATTTGGTCGACCCTAGAGTTGTAGGTCTCGACCTTTTTATTGTTGGCTGCTATCATTTTCTCACCCGATTCGATCCTTTTGGTGAGGTCCTCAAGCATCTTTATTATGGCAGGGTCGGCTACTGATCCGTTATTGCTTGATCTCTCGGGTACTTGTTTGGCGGGGGGAGCCGTTTTCGGTGCCGGTGTGCTGGGAGTCTTCGGTTGGCTTTGTAACTGAGCGATGGCCAATTGTTGTGCCTGCAACATTTCAAAAATAACATGAAGACTAACTTCTTGTTCTTCCCGGGCTGGGGTTCTTTGGTCTTCCTGTCGGTCTCTATGGCGTACGCTCCTGTCGATGGGTGAGGTTTCGTCGACCTGTTGCGCGTCCTGCGAATCCGCGTCCGCTAGAATTGGTCCAGGCGTGTTATCGGGATTTTGTGGTTGCGTTCCGATAGCCGGAACAACCACGTCCCTTTCCCGTGGTTTTCGAGGTTATCATTCTAGACTCTGTTTACCGAGCCAGACATTTAGACCTGAAATCAAGAGATCTTGGACAAGAAAAAGTGTGAAAGTTAACTTGCGTTTTTGTAATAGAACCAGCAAGAAAATAATCACTATTATTTTTAGCCCCACGATGGGCGCCAAACTGTTTACCATTGAAAATGGTAACAACTATTAAATTTAGTAAATGGGATTCTAAAAATACGTGATCTATTTTTATACTAGTTGTTAGAGCAGACGGTGCTAAGAATATGAAGTTTAACAATAAAATACGAGCTAAAGCAGGGCGATAATCGAACCGAGAGACTTGCTGCGCTGGCTTCGGACCGGTCGATGGAGGACCTCGAGGCCAATATCTGGGCTCGATCTCGAGCTATCGGGGGTAGTCGGGAATGGGGTAACAGTTAGAATATAATCAAGCAAGGCTCTTTATGGCCAATACGAAGTAATAAATGAAGAACAAATAAGAAAGTAATAAATGCCTAGGGTAGCCTTGAACGAGTAAGTTAGAGAAAAGAAAGAGAGAGATATTATTGATCTTATGGAGAATAGTTGTAGTGCCCTTTTTCAAAGCGTTAATGACTCCCTTTTTATTAGAGGAGGGGGGAGCCCAAACTCAGTACAAGATACGTTAAGTGATAAAGGAGATGGGATGGGACAGCTAACTAGCTTCATGACGTATGCGCGAGCCGATGTCGAGCTGCTCAAATGGAATTTAATTGACCCCGAATGCGTTCTTCAGGGCCTTCCTCTGTTCTTCAGGGCTTCGGTCGACGTTATCCCCGGCTGGGTGTCGACAGATCTTGAGGGAAGTGATCGGCTCGAGGTCCCGGGCCTCCGGGGTGACCCTTTGAAGCATTTTGTTGATGAGAAATCGGTCTTTGGATTTCAGCGTGTACAATATATACTAGGGACCTCTCGGTATCCCAAGGATCTCTTAGTATCCTCAATATACGTGCTAGGGATCTCTTGGTATCCCGCACTAAAGTCCAAATCACTATAGGTGCAGGGGATCTCCCAGAAAACAAATTTATAGTCCCAAAGTAAACAAGCAGGGGGGGATATCCCGGGATACTGTCCCGCAGTCCCAAGGTAAACACACAGTAGCAACACGAAGAATACTCAATTCAGTTCAAATTTCATACTAAGGTATGAACATGTATTTCAAACCTAACATGCCACACATAATCCAAATAAGGCAATTTAAGCAAATAAAGTAGTTAAGGCAATTAGGCATGCTTCCCTAAGCTAACAGCAGACTTAAATTGCAAATAACATAAGCAATTTACTGAATCAAAACAGGATTTTCAACAATTAGCATAAGTACGCACTCGTCAACTCACGTACAAGGCATTTCACATATCATCAATACCAAATCCTAAGGGGAGTTTCCCCCACATAAGGTTAGGCAAGCCACTTACCTCGAACCGGCTCAAAATCAACCCGAAACCATGTTCTTACCACGAGTACTCGACTCCAAATGTCCCAAATCTATTAAATTCAATTGCATAATGTGAATAACACTTCAAGTAACTGATTCTACAAATAAATTAGAAGCTAATACGCAAAATTAGGTCAAATGACCAAAACGCCCTCCGGGCCCAGGTCTCGGAATCTAGTAAAATTTACATTCATACTCTCACGAGTTTAACCATACCAAAATTATCCAAATCCAATGTCAAATTCCCAATTAAAACTCGAAATTTAGGTCTAAGAACTTTCTCCAAATTTTTCCCCAATTTTCATCCCAAATCCGAAATTAAATAACAAAACTAAGATTAGATTATAGGAATACAACTCAAAAGGGATTAGGAACCGCTACCCACTGATTTCCTCTTCATAATCCTCCCAAAATCGCCCTCTCCCGAGCTCCAAATCAGTTTTTCTAACTTTTGAAACTAAACCCTCGAAATTCTAATTTTCTGCCCAGCAAATCCGCTTTTGTGGTCAAGGGACCGCACCTGCGGTCCAGCTTCTGCGAACAAACAATCGCACCTGCAAAAACTCATTTATTCCCCAAATCCGCACCTGCGACCTATTTACCGCATCTGCGATCACGCAGGTGCATGGACACTTCCGCACCTGCGGCTCCTAGACTTTCCTCATCTGGCCGCTTCTGCGGCTTAATACCGCATCTGCGGGAGTCACATCAGCGGCCTCTCAACCACAGATGCGGTTATGATAGCAGCCCAAAAACTTCAACTGCAACTCCAAATTTCCAACTTCCCGTTAACCATCCGAAATCATCCCGAGGCCCCCGGGACCTCAACCAAAAGCACGAACAAGTCACATACCACTATCCAAACTTATACCAATCTTCAAAACACCTCAAACAACATCGAATCAACCAATTAGCATCGAATTCAAGCCAAAGAACTTCAAAACTCTCAAAATACGCTTTCGATCAAAAAGTCTATCACACCTCGTACGAATGACCTGAAATTTTGCACACACGCCGCATTCAACACTATGGAGCTACTCCAACTTCCGCAATTCCATTCCGACCCTTAGATCAAAATCTCATTATCAAACCGTAAACTTCAAAAATTCAACTTTCAACATTTCAAGCCTAAATAAGCTACAGACCTCCAAAAAACCATCCGAACACGCTGCTAAACCCGAAATCACCCAACGGAGCTAACGGAACCAACAAAATTCCATTTCAAAGCCGTATTGACACTGTTCCGACTGTCCAAATTCTAAAGCTTAAGCTCTCTTTTAGGGACTAAGTGTCCCAAAACACTCCGGAACTCAAATTAAATCCTCATGGCAACTCACAATAGCAGAAACAAACATGGGGAATGAAGTTAATAGGGGATCGGGGCGTTAATTCTTAAAACGACCGACCGGGTCGCGTTCATCCTCGAACGAGCATAGAGACATACCTGAAGTAGTGAAAAGGTAAAGGTAACGGATGCACATATCCTGCTCGATCTCCCAAGTCGCCTCCTCGACCGGCTAACCCCGCCACTGAACCTTCACTGATGCAATGTTCTTTGACCTCAGCTTTCGAAACTGTATGTCCAACATCGCCATCGGCTCCTCAACATAATATAGATCTTTGTCCAACTGGACTGAGCTGAAATCCAACACGTGTGACAGATCGCCATGATACCTCCGGAGCATCGAAACATAAAATACCGGATGAACTCCTGCCTAGCTGGGAGGTAAGGCAAGCTCAAAAGCAACCTCCCCAACACGCCTCAATATCTCAAAAGGGCCAATAAACCTCGGACTCAACTTCCCTTTCTTCTCAAATCTCATAAAGCCCTTCATAGGCAAAATCCCAAGCAGAACCCGCTCTCCAACCATATATGAAACATCACAAACCTTCTGGTCCGCGTAACTCTTCTGTCTAGGCTGGGCTGTACGAAGTCTATCCTGAATCACCTTAACCTTCTCCAAAGCATCTTGAACCAAGTCTGTGCCCAATAATTTAGCCTCACCAGGCTCAAACCAACCCACCGGGGATCTACACTTCCTACCATACAAAGCCTCATACGGTGCCATCTCAATGCTAGACTAATAACTTTTGTTGTAGGCAAACTCCGCTAATGGCAAGAACTGATCCTAAGACCCTCCAAACTCAATCACACATGCACGGAGCATATCCTCAAGAATTTGAAGAGTGCGCTCGGACTCCCCATCCATCTGAGAGTGAAATGTTGTGCTCAACTCCACTCGAGTACCTAACTCATGCTGTACGGCCCTCCAGAACCGCGATGTGAACTAAGTACCTCTATCTGAAATGATGGCATGAAATGCGCGGACTTGGTCAGCCGATCCATAATCACCCAAATGGCATCGAACTTCCTCAATGTCCGTGGGAGTCCAACTACGAAGTCCATGGTGATCTGCTCCCACATCCACTCCGGAATCTCTATCCGTTGAAGTAATCCACCCGGTCTTTAGTGCTCATACGTCACCTGCTAACAATTAAGGCACCGAGCTACAAACCCAACTATATCTCTCTTCATCCGCCTCCACCAATAGTACTGTCTCAAATCCCGGTACATCTTTGCGGCACCCGGATGAATGGAATACCGCGAACTATGGGCCTCCTCTAAAAACAACTCCCGAAGCCCACCAACATTGGGTACACAAACTCGACCCTGCATCCTCAATACCCCGTCATCACTAATAGTCACATCTCTGACATCGCCATGCAAAAACTTGTCCTTAAGGACAAGAAAATGAGTGTCATTAAACTGACG